CAGACAGACAGATGGATAGATAGATGATAGATGGATGGATGGATGATAGATGGATGGATGGATAGATAGATGGATGGATGGACAGACAGACAGATGGATAGATAGATGATAGATGGATGGATGGATAGACGGATAGATGAATAGATAGATAGATGGATAGAGAGATGGATAGATACATGGATGGATAGATACTAAATGAACGGATAGATGGATGGATGGATAGATGGATAGATGATAGACGATAGACAGAAATGATGGATAGAAAGATGGATGGATGGAAGCATACATGGAAGACAGATGTAAAGACAGATGATAAAAGACGATAGAGATAGATGACAGACAAAAATAGATAGATAGATGATAGGAAGAAGATAGATAGAGTTGGATGGGAAAGATGGATGGATGGACGGATAGATGTGGACAGACAGATGACGGACGACAGCCGATGCCTCTGGAACCCCGTGTAGCTCAACGGTGGGCCAGCGTGGTGCACGGCAGGAGCGCTGTTTTCATGGTCCTTTTTAGGTCAGTTAGAGAATTTGAGCTGCAACACACCACAGCCGCCTTTCTTCCTAATCACCAGAGGTTCTCTCCTGACGAGCAGGTAACAGGGAGGTGGCCGGGGAGGGGGTGGCCCCCAGTCCCGCAGCCTCAGCCCTCCACCAGCGCCCCGGCTCTCCTCCAGTCCCCACTCGGCACAGGTCACCTCACAGGACGGACCGCGGAGGCTGCAGCTATGGGCGCCGGTGACCCCAGGGAGGCCACAGGGCATGAGGACACGGACGCTGACCCTGTGTGCCCTCGAAAAACAGGTGACCCAGTGCCAGAGTCCACCAGCCACCGGGCCAAGGCTGCCGCACAGTCAGACTTGCCGCCTTGCCTCCCTGACCCGGGAAAGGCCCGTGAGGGACCCACTGGGGTCACAGGGGTGCAGCTCACCTTCAAACAACCACGGAGGCCCCACCCGGTCAGGCACCAACCACAGACCCCACGGCCCCCAGCGGGGCCTCACACACCAGGGGGTGCGTCCCAGGAAATCCGGGCCGACGCACCCACCCTCTGCTGATCCAGAAGTCGCTCTGTGCGCCAAGCCATTTAGTGAAGGCAGAAAAAATCAGCCGGGGACAGTGTTAGGGGCACTATGGTGGCCTGAAATGATAGGCTGAATCTTGAGCCAGGAACCTGGGAACGGGCCCTTGTCTGGAAATGGGGTCTTTGCAGACGTGATGAAGGAAAGGATGCAGAGGAGGGCTTCCTGGAGGAGGCGGCCCTGAATCAAGGATGGAGAGGAGAGACCCTCCCCGGGAGCCTCCGGAGGAGGCGGCCCTGCGACCCTTGACCCCAGACTCTGGCTCCAGGACGGGGAGGGTGGACCCCTGGGGTTTAAGGCCCCAGTGTGGGCTCGTTCGTTAGGGCTGCCCCAGGACATTGGCACAGGTACCTTTGAAGCTTTGAAGCTGTCGACGAGTTCCAGCAGGCCCGTGGGGAACGGGGCGGGCTGTGCCCCGTCCTGCTGGAAACGGCCTCCTCTGGGCCCGCAGCCTGTGTTCGTTCTCCCCGTCCTCGCCGGCCGCCGCGGCCTGGTGGCTCTGAGCCGGGCGGGTCCTCGCGCCCGAGGGGTAGTAGAGCTCGGCCAGCTTCTTGCAGAAGCGGTTTCAGGGGGAAGCCCACGACGTTGAGGAAGTCCCGTGCACCTGCTCCACCAGCATGCCGCCAGCGCCTGGATCCCGTAGCCCCCGGCTTTGTCCCTGAGCGGGTCGGGAGGAGTCCACAGGGGCGGGGAGGGGACACGGCCAAAGGTCAGGGACACGTCAACGTTCGGCACGTCATTCAAGAGCCGTGACGAGTAGAGGGACCCCGCGATCTGCAGCCCAGAGGAGTGAGACTCCGGGCTCAAGTCGGACCCGATCCTTCAGACCCGGCCCCGGGCCATCGCACGGTGGCCCTCTAGGCCCCGGGGGGAGCCGCCCTGCACCCCAGGCCGGTGCGCGGCCAGGGACCACAGTCTCTGGGGGCGGCAGTCAAGGCCCCGGGCCCCCCCGCCATGCTGTTCCCCGCACCTGCATTCCAGGCGCCCCATTCGGAGGCCTCTTTATGGGGTCCTCGGGCGCCCCTGCTGACACCTCCTTCCACGCGGGGTAAGAGGGGTCCTTGAAGACCCCCTCCAGCGACTGAGCACCCAGCACCTTTCTATCCGAGACCCCCCCCACACACTCCCCAACCCAGGTCCCTAAAACGGCAGGAGCCTTTAGTTAGGGGGCCCCTCGGCAGTGGGGTGACCCCCAGTCTGTGGTGCTCTCTTAGGGGGGCCCCAGCAACTGAGACACCCCGACCTCGGGCTCCCGCGAGGCATCCGGACACGGAGATGCTGAGACCCGGGGTGGGGGGGTCCAGGGCGCACACGGACCCCTCAGCCGGCCTGGGGTCACCGCCCACCTTGACGCACGAGCTGCGCAGCCCAAGACTCGGAGACGGGACCCCTTCCTCCCGCCCCCCATTCTCCTCCGCGCCCCTTCCTGACGGGGGTGGGCGGCCCCGTGCTCCCGCGCCCAGGCGGACATCCGGGGAACTCTGGGCGTCGCCCCTCCCTTCCACCCGCACCCAGTCCTGCAGGCCCACCCCGCCCGCTTCGCCCTGGGGACGCCCCGATCTCCCTCCCGCCCCGTCTCCGCTGCAGAGTGTGGAGCTGCGGGACCCCGGGGGCCTCCCTGTGGTCCGTGTCCTCTCAGACGGACAGCAGCTCGGGGCCGGCCTCTGTGCAGAGCCAGCGGGGCCCCCCCCCCACCCGACCCGACCCGCGCGGAGGAACATGCAAAGCGGGGGCGGCGTGACTCGGGGCCCGACGCCTCCGGAGGTGGCGCCCAAGGGCCAGCGGTGCACCCACGAAGCGTGTCCCCTGGCTGGGGTGGGACAGGCCACGGCTCGTGCACCCAGCCCAGCTGCCTGGAGCTCACCGGGTCCCTAGGTCCCCCAAAACACTCATGTGCACCCCAACCTGGAACGAGGGGGCCTCCTCCCTTGACTTCCCCCTGAGCTGGCCTGAGACCGGCTTTAACCAGGAGAAGGCAGGCTCCCACCCTCGGCCTCAGCAGCCCCGGGGGGGCGTCTACACTCGCCTACCCACTGTTGGCCCCCGGCTCCACGGGGGACCCCGAGCAAGCCACTTCAAGAGGAAACACACGAGGCCAGACCCCCAAGCCACCATCAGACACGGGAGCGAGGCCAAAAGCCACTGGCCGCTGACCTCGCGACCCGAGCTCGAGGATCACTGATGTCTGGGGCCGACACGCTTTGGGGCGGCTGGCGCTCCACCGGGTTCAGGGTGGCCTCTGCTTTCCAGAGAGAGAGGGGGTGCTGGCCGAGCGGAGTTGCCCCGGAGGCCACCCCAGCTCCCAGACATCCCATCGTCACAGCAGCGGGTGTGGGGCCCGGGGTGGGCCTGAAGCGGTTTATGATCACCTCCTGAGAAGCATCCTTACCCACAGGGCTGCCGGGGCACCGATCGGGCACACCGTCGGGACCTCAGGCCCTAAACCCAGGAGTGACTCCCCGGGGTCACGTGCGGGCAGGGCGCAGGAGGGCGCCTCCCGAGAAGGACTCACATGGGCTCCCCGCTGTCGATGTACTCCCACAGCAGTCCTCCGACAGCTCCGAGAACCGCACCCTCGTCTCCTCGTAGAATTCCGACACGTCGGTGTCCAGACGGCCGTCTGGAAGGACAGAAGCCTGAGGGTGAGGACGCAGGACAGACATGAAACAGAAAGGCGAGTTGAAAGTCTGGCAGAATCTGTCTGTCCGGTGAGTGCTTTCCCTCCGAAAGGCCCCAGACTGAAGGCTCAGAGGTCAAGGTGCACCGGCCGCTGACCCACTGCCTCGGGGCGCCCCCCCCCCCCCCATCAGTGGGATGCTATCAGGCAGCCCCGGGCGCAGCGACATTCTTTCTTCCAGGGCTACAAAAGACACGATCGGAATGTCCACTCAATGAACGCCCGTCTGTTGTCACACCCTGGCGTCGCTCCATCTTCCATTGACCTCGTGGTGTCATCCGTGTGCCTCCGAGAAATGTGTCCCCCCGGGGGGCCAGCTGGCCTCGAAGACGCCAGCACAACCTCTGACCCCCAACTCCCTTGGAAGAGTTGCAAAAGGTCTGCAAGTCACTCAACAAACCTCTTGGCTCCTATCCGCCTGCAACACCCCCTTTCCTTTTAGGGTAATTTTGCATATTTTTCAGGGACCCCCCCCCCGGCCCCCCGAGGGCGTCGGGCCGCTGGACGGGGCGTTTTCCCTCCGTCCCCCACGTCCCATCCCCAACCTGGCACCCTGGACCCGTCCCACCTTTAAGGAAATCGGGCCCTTGTCCGGGTGCAGCATGACGCACTCGACGTAGGTGGGGTCCTCGTCGCAGTCCCAGGTCAGCTCCAGCCTCCGGGGGTCGAAGGTCACGCGCAGACTGGGGACGGGGGCTGCGCTCGGAAGATCTGAAAGACGCCGCCACCGGATTCACCAACGACCCCGTCTACACCGTCCACCCCCTCCCCGCGACGGGCACCTCCCAGATCCCGTTTCTCCCTCATCACCCAGGTGGCCCCAGGACATTGGCACGTGCTCAGAATCTCCTCCCTTTCCCATCTCTCCTTCCTGCCCCGGCCCCTTTGGCCCCAATTCTCCACGTGGACGTGTCTACACTGGCAGTAAAGGAGGATCCATCAAGTGAGGCCAACTGGAGGCTGGTGGCTCAGAGCCCAGAAGACGGGCGTCCCATGGGGTTGGTTAGAGGGCACCCTATTTCCCTTCCTCTGCTTGGTCCTAAGCGGGAAGTGGGAGCAAAAATGGAGTCGATCGATCAGTTATTGATCACGTCCTGGCCGCGCCTGGGGCTCGCGGTGACCCTTAATCCCGGGGCCGCGCCCTCCGCCCTCTGACCCCGTTCCCCCAGGTCCCCGGGCCCTAAAAGGAAATCAGGTGCCTCCTGGATTTCTGGACCCCTCTCCCTCCTCCCCCTGGGGGCTCGTCCTCCTTGCGGATCCCAATCCACTTCCGAGACGGACCGGCTGTGTGGCCTCTGGCAGTTTGCTTGACCTCTCTGTTCCCCACTCTCCAGTCTCACCCAGTGAAGCCAAGACGTGTCTGCCCTCCCGAGGTGAGTCCAAACTCACCAGAGCAAAGGGCGTCCCGGCCGTTCTCAAAGGGTCATGTCACGACCCCCGACCCCCGACCCCGAGGATGTCTCCCTAACACCCGACCCTGAACCACGAGGGCACCAGGGAGTTGGCATGAAGGGGTCACGACCTTCAGGACACTCACCCTGCAGCTCCCGCGTCAAGAGGAAGGCCGGGTCCAGCAGCACGGACAGCACAATGGCCGCGCGCACAGGGGCCCCATGGCGTGGGGACCGGTGGTGTTCATCCATCCTCCATCCATACATCCATCCATCCATCCATCCATCCGTCTATACATCCATCCATCCATCCATCTATCCATCCATTTATCCATCCATCCATCCATCCATCCATCCATCTATCCATCCATCCATCCATCCGTCTATACATCCATCCATCCATCCATCTATCCATCCATTTATCCATCCATCCATCCATCCATCCATCCATCCATCCATCTATCCATCCATCCATCCATCTATCCATCCATCCATCTATCCATCCATCCATCCATCCATCCATCATCCATCTATCCATCCATTTATCCATCCATCCATCCATCCATCCATCCATCTATCCATCCATCCATCCATCCGTCTATCATCCATCCATCCATCCATCTATCCATCCATCCATCCATCTATCCATCCATCCATCCATCCATCCATCCATCCGTCTATACATCCATCCATCCATCCATCTATCCATCCATTTATCCATCCATCCATCCATCTATCCATCCATCCATCCGTCTATACATCCATCTATCCATCCATCCATCCATCCATCCATCCATCCATCTATCCATCCATCCATCCATCCATCCATCCATCTATCCATCCATTTATCCATCCATCCATCCATCTATCCATCCATCCATCCGTCTATACATCCATCTATCCATCCATCCATCCATCCATCCATCCATCCATCCATCTATCCATCCATCCATCTATCCATCCATTTATCCATCCATCCATCCATCTATCCATCCATCCATCTATCCATCCATCCATCCATCCATCCATCCTCTATACATCCATCCATCCATCCATCTATCCATCCATTTATCCATCCATCCATCCATCCATCCATCTATCCATCCATCCATCCATCCATCCGTCTCATACATCCATCCATCCATCCATCTATCCATCCATTTATCCATCCATCCATCCATCTATCCATCCATCCATCCGTCTATACATCCATCTATCCATCCATCCATCCATCCATCCATCCATCCATCTATCCATCCATTTATCCATCCATCCATCCATCTATCCATCCATCCATCCGTCTATACATCCATCTATCGATCCATCTTTCCTTCTTTCCTTCCACCCCCCATCTTCCAACCCCTCCTTCCTCCCTCAGAGCCACCCCCCTGCTCCATTCCTTCCTCCCTTCCTCCCGTGTTGTGTCTGCCCGTTGGAGGCCCCGCTGTCCCGCCCGCACCCTGCCGCTCCTCGGACCCCCATTTCCTGGTCCTCACAGCCCGTCCTGTCTTCACCCGCCCGCGTCCTCGACCCGCCTGACTGAGGTGCAACTCGGCTCCGCCCGAGGACACGGCTGCTCCCTGTCCCGCGTGTCCAGTTCAGCACATCCGGGCTCCCCCGCAGCCCGGCTCCACCCTGGGTCAGGGGTCAACCGCAGGGCCCCCCACCTCTGACGACCCCCCCACCTCAGGCCCCGCTCCTCGCTCTCCCCAGGCCTCCCCTCCTGGATGCACGCCCATCGTCGGTGTCACCCGGGCTGACGTCGGCGTCTACACCGGCCTCCCGCCTCCCCGTGAGCCCCCCCCCTCCCCCCCGACCCCACTCACCCCGCCCGCCTCCACCTGGCACTCAATGCCCCGACCCGTCATCACCCGGTCGGCCTCCTCTCCGAGGCCCGTCCACACCGCGACCCTCCTCGCGCCCCCGGACACCCCTCACTCACCGCACTCCCCGACCCTCTTTTCTGTCTCCCCCGCACCTTTTCCCGTGACTTCCACCAACCCGCCTCCTTCCCCTTTGACCCCGCCCAGGGAGGGTCACACCGGCTCCGTCTAAACCCCAAACCCTGCAGCACCTGCAGCCCGCGCTGCGCCCTCCGACCGCACTCCCCCTCCAGGTGCGCGCGCCCCTGGGCGGCCCCCCGTGCACCCTCAGATCCCTGCGCCCCCGCCACCACCGCCCCCGGGGAACCTCCCTCGCGATTGGGAGAGGGTCCCAACCACACCCCACACCCCAGACCCGCTCCAACTGCCCCGCCTCCCGGCCCCCTGGTGGGGAGGAAACGCCCGCTTCCTCCACCTGCCGGCTGCACCCGCCCCGCCTCGCCGCGCCGTCCTCCTCCCTCCGGGCTCCTCGGGCTTCTCTGCACACGGGGTGGGGGCCTGGGTGGGGGGGGAAACGTCCACGCCGCCTCCGGTCCAGGTAGGGGGCCTGAGTTCTGGACGCGCATGGGGCCCCCCAGACCTGGGCGGCGGGGGAGGGGGCGGAACCCCTGTGTGAGGGCTTGGGGACCGTCATGCTGGTCTCTCCACCCCCGTGTGTGTCAGTCTCTGGTGGCGGCCCTCACAAACCCCCACACTGGGGGGCGGGCCTCAAACAACTGCCACCAGGACTCTGAGGTCAAGGGTTGCAGGGTCGGGCTCCCCCCCCCCCCCCCCCCCCCCGCAGGCTCCAGGGGAGGGTCCCTCCCTCCTCCCCGCGGATGCACGATCCCCTTTGCCCTTCCTGTCCTGCCCCTGGCCGGCTGTTCACTCTGCGATCTGCCCCAGGACCTTTGCACTTGCAGCCGAGCTGCCCCAGCTGGCCGGCCGAGGGGGGGGACGGGACACCCCCACTTCGGAGACGTCTTAGGTCTCCAGCGGCTGCCGTCCCCGTCCTTCCCTTCGCCCGGGAGCCTGTCGGGTCCACACCTCTGGTTGCACCTGCTTCGCGGACCGACCCCCCCCTCCAGCTGGGCCCCACGGCCGCGTCCCAACTCCGAGGGAGCGCGACCCCCCCCCCATGACCACAGGAGATCCACCCTCGCCGACACGGTTCCCCATTCTGCTTCCTCTTGGCTGAACTCCCCCTGGTTGCTTCTTGCTCATCCTGATGGAGCAAAAACACCCACTTCTGTAAACTTGGTTTTTCAAAAAAAAAAAAAAAAAAAACCACCGCAGTGATCTAAGGCCCCAGAGACGCTTGACGTTCTGGCGCCAGGCACAGCGACGCTATGCCAGGGCGGCTGTTTTAAACAAACGGTCATTCATAGCAAGGGCTCTTTTTTTTTTTTTTTTGGTGAGGAAGATTAGCCCTGAGCTAACATCTGCTGCCACTCCTCCTCTTTTTTTTTTTTTTTTTGCTGAAGAAGACTGACCCTGAGCTCACATCCATGCCCATCTTCGTCTACTTTATATGTGGGACGTCTAGGGAGATCTCATTGCTCTTTCTCATTTATTTATTCATTTTTTTTGCCTTCATTTTTTTTTTTTAAATAGAGGCAAAATGCACAGGGCCCCAAGGGGACCCTCTTGCAGCGCGCAATTCAGCCACGTTCGCCGGGTTGTGCGACCATCTCGCCCGTGTGGCTCCAGCCCATTTCCATTTCCGTCCCCATTCGGCGGTCACCCCCCAATCTGCCTCCTGGCCCCTGGACACCCCGAATCGGCCTCCTGGTTTTGGAACGGCCCGTTCTACCCGCTTCGTCTCCACGGCACACAACCTACATTGTGGCCTCCGGGACCCAGGGCCTCCCGCTTTCTCTTCTTCTTTCTGTGCTCACCCCTCGCCAGGTTTTCCTTCTGCTTTTCTAGCTGTGAGCTTCCTAGAGGCACAGGGCTGGCATGAAAACGCTCGGCTCCCGCCAGCTGGGCCTCGATGCCCCATCTGAAAGCGCTCAACAAACACCTGGGGTGGCCGCCGGACACGCAGACTCAGACTCTGCGGGTCTGGGTGGCATCTGACACCCAGCTGCTGGTTCAAATCCCCATGCTGGGGGGTGGGTGGGGGCATGGAACACCACCGGCAGGCCCCAATGACACACCTCCCAGCCAGGCCGGCCACACTTGTTTGCAAGCGACTTTCAGATGGATCGACGGATGGCAGGACGAGCCCCCAGGAGGCGGGGACCCCCGTCTCCTCCCTCCGGGGTTTGGGGGGACCACGTGCACACGCCTGGGACGGGGGTGCAAGCTGGCTGCCGTTTCCGACATGCACGGGCACCCCGGGGTGGGGGGGGGAGCTCCGCCGGCTGCAGATGCATGCTGGGTAATTCCCGGGGCGAATTCGGAGCTGGATTCAGGGCAGCCCCCAGTGACCGTCTTGCACGGAGCATCCTTCCTCCGGTCGCTCGCATGGCCCACCCTCGGGTCCTCACCCGCCCGGAGGCCTCGCCTCCAGCCCCAGCAGCACGGACCGCGGGGAAGACCACGGAAGGAAGGGAAGGGGATCGGCTTACCCCGAGCGCGCAGCACCGGGCCCGCGTCCGTCAGCCGGCTCTCCTGGGCTGTGTTTCCTGACGCGCCGACATCTGGCCGGTGTCTCTGGGCCCGTCTGTCCCCCGCCCGCCCCCGCCCCCCGTCGTCAGAGTGAGCGCGAGGATTGCACGGCACAGACATCTCGACGACCCGGAACCTTCCTTTTTCTCCTTAATTCCCTCCCCCTTCCTGTGGGGTGTGCTCATCGCGGAGAATTGGGAAACCCGTCTGCAGTCAGCGAGCTCCTGGCCTTCCAGACTCACGTCCCAGAAGAGCCCCATGGCGGGGCCGGCCCCCCGGCTGAGCGCTGCAGGGCGTGCACTCTGCTTAGGTGGCCCCGGGGCTGGCCGTTCGGATCCTGGGCGCGGACCTGGCACTGCTCTTGAGGCCACGCTGAGGCGGCGTCCCACATAAAACACCCAGTAGGACCTCCAAGTAGGATATACAACCACGTCCTGCGGCGTTAGGGAGAGAAAAAAAAAAAAAAAACAGGAAGATTGGCAACAGTTGTTAGCTCGGGGTCAATCTTCCTCAGCAAAAAAGAAAAAAAAAAAAAGAGGAAGATTGGCAACAGTTGTTAGCTCAGGGTCAATCTTCCTCAGCAAAAAAAACTCAGGAAGATTGGCAACAGTTGTTAGCTCAGGGTCAATCTTCCTCAGCAAAAAAAAAAAAACAAAAAAAAAACCCAGGAAGATTGGCAACAGTTGTTAGCTCAGGGCCAATCTTGCTCACCAAAAAAAAAAAAAAAAAAGAGTCCCGTTGGATAGCTTGAGTGTGAAACACACGCACCCCTGTAGA